GCAGTGTGAAATTCATAAATGAAAACAATCATATACATTTTTGGCAGTGTCAAATTCATACATGAAAATAGTGTGGAATTCATACATGAAAAGAGCTATACATTTTTTAGGCAGTGTGGAATTCATACATGAAAATAGTTATACATTTTTTGACAGTGTAGAATTAATACATGAAATCACTACCACATAAATCAATGGACATTACAATACAACATGAAATTAAGAAACACAATAATACATTTACACATTTCCGTAAGATATAACAACATATATCCATTCTACACAGCCACATTAAAAACTCACATATAAAAACCACACTGCCCACTACACAATTACGAGTGAACAACCACACTGCCCAAAACAATCATATTTTTTGGCAGTGCATAATGAACATTTGCTGTTTAACTAAAGGACAAAATTGGAATCACAGGTACGAAACATATAGCACTGCTATTTAGAGTATTTTAATGCTCTTAGAGTGCTATTTTGGTTTTTCTCCCTATATTTTAAATAAGACCTACTCAGTATTCATTTTCAAAAGAGAAATGCTAGAGTCACAAAAACTCCAATCACAAAATACACAAATTTTCCATTTGTGTACCTCACCAAGTGAATAAAATAATGATAAATAATTAAAAAGTAGATATTTAAATGCATAAATAGTAAGTTTGTGTATTTTGTGACCAAAATATTTGTAACTCTAGCACTTCTCTTTTTAAAATAGACTGTTTCCAAAAAAAATAAGAGTAAATCTTTAAAATGGTCTTTTGTTAAGAGATGTTTTCCTAATTTAGTCCTAAATAAATTTAAATTATCTACGTAATATAGTCAAGATCATACATGACTATATTTAGGCTTACACATTGAAAAAATTTGATGAGTCAAAATGCTTAGATGAACAGTTCCAAAAGTCAAAAGTGGACAAAAACTGGGAGACGGAGGGAGTAGTACTTTTAAATACTCCCTCCGTCCCAAAATATTCACAACATTTGCTTTTTCGCCAGTCGCGGAAACTTTTGTTTACTTCTACATTTTCATTGGTTATTTGATAAAATAAAATATTCTTGACACCTCTTATTTCGAAGAACTTTTCATGTAGTTTTTTGATATGTAAATTTTATTTTTTATTTCTATACCAATATGTAAATAAAATGAATTGAAAAAAACTTAATATTTTACCTCAGGAATACAAATGTGGCAAATATTTAGGTACGGAGGGAGTACTAAAGTGTGTAAAAATTATAATTTTTTTTACATCATAATTAATTAAATTAAATTATACCCTCAATTAATCAAAAGGGAAACCATATTGAGAGAGAGGGGGGGAGTAAATAATTATGAGGTGAGAGAGAGTAATGATTTGAGCTGGTGAAAGAAATTTCCTAAAGACGACCAAAACCAAAACTTTCCATTTAACGACATACCCTTTTTTACTCGCAAGGCTATAGATACGCCCCACGCTCACACACTCATCATCCCAGATTTGGCCGCGGCCAGTTCGAATTCATTCCTCCAACAATGGCGGCCGAGAAGCAGCAGCTGCAACAAATTAAGGAGGAGAGGGCCAAGAAATTGCAGTACGAGAAGAGGAAATCCACTCTTCTGAAAGGAGGCAAAGAACTGTCCATACTCTGCGGCATCAATGTCTGCCTCGTCGTCCTCTCCCCCGACGGCAAGCTCGAAACTTGGCCGGAGAATCTCGACCACGTCAGGGCCGCCTTCCGCGACGCCGCCCAGTCCAACAAGCGGCCCCGTTCCGACAACAACAGAAAGCGCCGCCGCAGTCCCTCCCAAGTCGGAATTGATGATGCCGAGAAGGCGAACAAGAAGATGAAGGCTGCTATTATTTCTGACGGCTGCCATGCCGTCGGAAACAAGAAAACAGAGGAGGATCATCATCATCATCATCTTTCTCTTTCTAATTGTTGTGGCAATTGTTATCATCAAGGGTTTCCCGCGTTTGGCCAATGGAATAACGGTTTTGCAGCGGGAATCGGGAATTGCGAGAATCAAATTCTTCATCATCAAGGTTGTAGTGTTGGCTATGGCGGTGGTGGGTATTCATCATCATATGGATACGAGATTCAAAATCTTCATAATAATAATGATAATAATAATCATTTTCATGAGTGGAACAATGATGATTATGCTTCAGGGGCAGCCATGTTTGATCCTCTGTGTGTGCAGCCGCTGCAGAGCAGATTGGGGGGAGATTTCCAGTTTGGGAATTATTATTATATATGATCAGTTTGATATATATTTTCATTCATTACTATCAGTATATATATATATGGTCATTGATTAATGCATGGTGGTTCGTTCAAGAACTTAGTTAAACTAAACCAAGTAGACATTATATTGATGGCAAACATTTATTACAGTAGTTTTTATTTCAATGGGAACCAATTTGTGTTTTAATCTTGTTTGCCATTGTCTGATTCTGCTTTTATTTTGAAGCCAATAATTGATCAATCCTCTGCTAATTAATTGTCTGTTTGGAAATAGCATTAGCGATTCGCGTTAGCGTTTTGAAAAGGCTATCGACGGACAGCGTTTAGCGTTAGCATTTTCAAAGCAATCTGTACCGTTAAAATTTTATCCAAAATGCTCACGCTAATCTCTAACGCTATTCTCAAACAGGACCTAAGTCTTCGGGTAAAGTAGGTGTTTTTTACAATATGATCTTGGGGGGGGGGGGGGGGG